TTGCTTAGTGGTCTGGCTAAATCTCGACTTGTTTGGTCTTCGCGTGAAGTCGTACATGTTGCTTGAATATTATCTGTGCATGCGAATGATTTGATTTTCCTGTTATATCGATTACGTGGATGTGAACCCCCGTGTATTACATGAAAATATTTTTCTTAAAGTTGGGGACCTCATTGGGCTTAGCTCATCCCTTTAGGATATCTTTTACAGGTTTTCGGGGAAGTGCTATGGCAAGAAGTTGCAATTTGTAATAGTTAGTAGGCTATAGTAGAATATCGTGAAATAGAAGCTGGTCCTTAGTTTAAAGTTTGATTATGTTTACTTAGGATTTATTTTATATTTTAAATGTAATTTATTAATTTAATTTTAGTAATTATAGTGTGAGACCTGGTGAGAGTTGGGTAGATGTTTCCCAAGGCTCCTTAATCAGGTTTAAGCTGGCAGGTGCATTTTTGGGGACGTCATAATTTAACCGTAATCATAGAAAAATTGTCCAAATAATACTTATCCAAAGATAATACATTTCGGGAAGAACATGGACACTCTTAATACAAAATCAAGCCTCTAATGGTTCAGACGATGAAGATTTTGACATGGAATTGGCAATGGAACGGGAGTCTTTCTATAGTGAAGTTTCTGCTCTATCACATCATAGTGGCAGGAAAAAAAGTAAGGGCAAATCGAATGTTAGAATCTGTCACTCTTCTACATTGAATAAGGAAACTAATTATGCATAAGTTTAAATTGTATTTGGCATAGGGTTTAGTTTATTCGCTGCCCTATTTTTTCGTCATTATATATAATATTATTATTTGGCTAATATATATATATTATATATATATATTTGTTTGCAGGTCTTAGGAGATTGATGATAACTGGAGTCAAATAAGATGAAATTGGACTTAATCGGAGAAGTAAAGGAAAGTCAAGGGCTGAAGTGAAGATTGAAGAATTTATTTATGAAGGAAGCAAGTAAGCTGAAAATTGGAGGACAAAACTGCAACTTCATCATTCTAATTCCTAGTTTGGCCGAGACAAATTTGATCTAGGTTACATGCAACTAAATGATTTATGAAGTGGGCCTTTTACCATGGAGTTGCTGTCACGAACTGGACTTAATTGTCCGAGTTCTTTAGTATAGGGGCCTGGTTGCAATTTCTGTAAATACCGGTACTATAAATAGCCAAACCGGAGCTGAAAACATTATGGAATAACTGTTACCCTCTGTTCGTTTGCATGGCATTGGGGGCATGCATTTGGAATTTGAGCCACCAATGTCAAATCCGGCGTTCGGCTCATAAAAAAAAGTATGGAATTGGCATTAGTCCAATGCCAAAAGGCTTCTAATGCCACAATTTAATTCGGGGCTTGAAGTTATTATTTGGGATTCCAAAATTATGTGGAGTTGAGCCAAACGCGGGTCTTTTCCGGGTTTTTTAAATTAAAATCCGGGTTCGGGTCCTTTTTTATTAGCTTTTTACTGTAAATTGAATTTTTTTTCCACTCTCTTCGTGTTCCCCTATCAGACTTTCTCCTCTGTTAATCTGTACAATTTCCGGCGACTCCATTTATCGTAACAAATTTGCGACGGCGACGGCAAACAAGAAGGAGGCGGCGACACGGTTTCTTGGTAATTTTTTTATTTTGATCTTTTTCTTCCTTTTGGGTAGATAGGGTTTGCTGCTCATCAATTCATCCAGATCTTCTTCTCATGCTTGGATTTTCAATCAAAATTTTCTTATTTCAGCATGAATCTGACTGAATTTTTTGTGGGTTTTGATTATTAAGTCAAATTCCAACTAGGTTTGCTTCTCCGCAGGCTTACTCGGTTCTGTTTCTCAACAACATAGTCCACCGACTTCTCTTCTCCCGCGTCCGCCTCCAAGTCCGGCGCGCAAAGGGACTTCAAACTCCATTTCCCAGATAAGATCGGCCTTTGCTACGTTATTTGCCGCACCATCCTCGATTTTGGGCTTCACTGCAATAAGGCAAGGTATTGTCTCTGATTTTTGTCTCCTTTTAGCTATGATAATGGGTTCGTGTAAATCTATGAGGCAAGTGTTCTTTTTCTTATAACAAATCATGAAGGACATGGAAATTGCAAGGTGGGAGTGCCTTGGTCAGGTTTTAGGTGAATCCATTTTCCTGAATTTCTTCCCTTTGATGTGTGCTTTTGGTTCCCGTTTGTGGTTAGTGGTAGTGGAATTTGGTTACCATACTGGGATATCCTTGTTTGCTCCAATGTGTTATAAGAGGCCTTACTCTCAAAGGACTTTTATCATCCATATTGAACTTGGAAGATAGACTTTGTTAGACAATGGACCAGCAACCAAAAACATTGATGTCTCGTTCTATATATACTACAATTTACATTGTTTTGGGTTCTATATATACTGCAGTTTACAGTTCCTTGTTTTGGGATTGCTTCGGTACTAGCTCACAGCTTCTGTATACATTGTCAAGTTCAGTTAACCTTTATTGCTCAAAATCAAATCTTATCTTGGGATTGGCAAACTATTTCGGTACAATTAATCTCGCCGTTACAATTTGAATTAATGTTATTTCATGTTCAGAAGAAAATGATGATTAAGGTGCACTCATGTTCCAGAATCGTTTCTAGGAATGGATGAAAATGGCAAGTCAGAATATCAATAAGCGAATTGGCAAGTCAGGATATCCCTTCCCTTTTCTGTTCCAATGGGACTGGTTTGAAGTAAATATTATATCTATTTGTTGTTTTTTTTTGGAAATTATAGTCTAAAAGTTTTAATAATTAATTAGTGCTTTTATTATGGTAGAACTGTCTTGGAGCACTAGATGAGACCCATGTTGAAATCGTTGTTCCATTGAGAGATCAAGGAAGCTATAGAAATCGGAAAGGCAACATTACAACAAATGTCTTGGCGGTATATTCTCGTGACCTAAGGTTCACTTATGCTTTACCGAGATGGGAGGGATCTGCAGCTGATGGTAGAGTATTACGAGATTCTTTTACTATAAGAGACTCCTTTATAGTTCCTAAAGGTATGTCGTAATTAGTCAATTCTGTTTGCTCAGTATTTTTTTTTTTTTGTTTCTTTGTGCATTAGTTTTTTAAGGTGTATAAAGTACTGACAAGAATGTTTCCATTTGATTTTGTAGGCAAATATTTTTTGGTAGATGCGGGTTATACCAATGGTCCTGGTTTTCTTGCGCCTTATAGAGGAACTAGATATCACTCAATGAATGGTCAGCCCAAGGTAATAATCCACAAGCTCCTAAGGAGTTATATAACCTCTGGCATGCAACTGCTAGAAATGTGATTGAGAGAGCTTTTGGTGTGTTGAAAAAGCGATGGAAAATTTTGAGAGAAGCATCTTTTTATGATGTCAAAACAATTGTGAAGATTATCAATGCTTGTGTTATCCTTCACAATCTTATTCGAGTAGAAGAACCTAATGATCCATTATTGGAAGAAGTTGATCATGAGATTCTTAACCGAGTTAATCCAGATGGTGATGATCAGAATGAGGAAGAACAGAATCAGCCAAACATGCAAGGTGGTGCGAATGTTGAAGACTCTGATCGCATTACACTTGTACAATCTACACATGAGTGGATTAGATATAGGGATGCATTAGCTCAAGCTATGTTTATTGATTATCAAAACAGGCGTAGATGAAATGGTCTTGTTAATTTATGTTCAATATAACTATTAGTTTTAAGTTTCATTATTTGTATAAGACTTTAACGTTGTGTGGTATTTTAGTTTAGTGATAGTAACATTGGTTGGATTAATATTGTCATCAGATTCTATGTTTGAGAAAAATATATAAAATGTTTAGGTGGTTGTTATATTATATATAATATTGGGTGAATACCGCCCCTTCATTTTATAATCAGTTTAGTTTCTTTAGTTTCAAAACAATCACTTGAACTAAATTAATTACTACATACGTAACCAATTTTTGTAATTTTTATATTTATGTTAATGTAACAGTGTTGGAACGATCTAAATTCATCATTATAATGAATATATAAATAATTGATAAATTTAAAAAATAAAAATTTAAAGAGTTTTCTCTTTGTCACCTTAAATATGATAACAGAATATATTATTCTAGAAATGATACTATTTAACATAACAAAAATTAAAAGTTGAAATAATTTCAAAATAAATCATTTTTTTCTTTTTTCTTTACTTTTGTAAAAAATAAGCAAAAGCCAAAACCAACCCAATTACTAGACTATACGAACAGAGAATATGGAATCCCAATGGAATTTGTGACCAATTCCATGATTTTGCCGAACGGATAAATTGGCATTGAATTAGAATATATTGAATACCAATTGAATCCCAAAATATTCTAATGCCAATTGAATCCCTAAAGCAAGTAGCCGAACACACCCTTAATTGAATTGATATTTTTCTGAATTCGTAAATTTATTCCCAATTCTCTCTGGTTAGAACCCTAACCAGCGCCCTTCCACCTCCGGCTTGCCGGAATCCCTCCATTTTCCGGTCACTACTTTCCGGTAGCTGACAAATTGGCCAAAGAGTCAGCTGTTTCTTTGCCATGTTCTTGCCTTTATCTATTTCTTCCACTTAAACTCTGTGTTGTTCGATCCAATTCGGTTTTTCTTTTCTCCTTCTTTCGATTCCATTGGTTTTGAATTCTTCTCACCCTTCAACGTTCTTGATTTCTGTCAGACTCAATTTCTTTTGGATTCGTTTCGGTTCGACTTCGCATCTTTGAATTCCGAGTTCGATTTTAATTGGATTCGATTTTGGTTTTTTTCTTCGTTCTTGAAATCGATACTGTCGATTTTTTCCCTTCCACCTCTGAATGTGGTTTCGAATTCATTTTGTTCCTTCGCACCATTTTTTATTCATTTTCCCGGATCAGATTCTTCTTCTCCTCTTTCGAATTCGTTCGAAATTTTCTTCTCCGCTGTGAGGTTTTCGTCCTTTTCCTCAATTCCTTTTCTTGATATGCATTACTCTCGAATCATTTCAAGAAATGGCTAGATCTAGAGCTGTTGCTGATGAAACTGCTAAGGAATCACAAGGAGATGCAAATTCCAGTCATCTTGAAACCCTAGATTCAAGAGTCTCTGAGATTGGCTTGAAGTTCGATCAATTGATTGCTCTGATGACAGAGCGTGAAGTGGAGAGTCGTCGGGTAGCCACAGAGCGAGATGCAAGGTTAGACAAGCTCATCGACATGTTTGCAGCACAACAAGTTCGAAATTCAGAAAAGGCTCCGGTTACAGGAGCATCTCCGGTGACAGACCGTTCTCCTCCGGAGTCACCAGCAGTGGATAGACCTCCATTCACTCCTATTGGAACTGATACTCCTCGAGCTTCCTTCAAATCGGCGCTAGAAAAGGGAAATCGTCGTACTCCAACCGATTCAGGGCAAGTGGACAAGGAGAACAGTCCAATTGCAGGGAACTCAGGCAACTCTGGGCGAAATAATCTTCCTCCGGAGCTGATAGTTGCTGGTGGAACGCAGGGCAACAGTGGCTTGGGAAATCCGGCTCGAAATGGTCAGCAAGGAAAGGGAGTTGTTGCCCCAATGTGGTACCAACATCCATCCGAGACTTGATCTACCCGAGTTCAGGGAGAAATTCCGCAGAACTGGATTCTGAAATGCCGCAAATACTTTGGAGAATTGTGTTCTAGATTGTTACAGTTGGGGTATGATTTTGATGATGAGTATTATGTCTCAGTGGGCTAAAGGAAGAGATTAAGTCTATGGTTAGAATGTGGAACCCTAAAACCTTAGACGTTGCTTTTGATGTTGCCATTTGCCAAGAAAGAAATTTAGCAGCTTGGTTTAGTATTGGTTTAATAGATACGGGACAGTCTGGTTCTGTTCTGGTGCCTCCTGATCAAAATAAGGATCAGACTAAGACTTTGTTGCACCCTGTTAGCAGTGGGGACTGAAAGCTACAGATCCGCCACTTTTCTGGAACGGAGGCTACATCATAAAATCATTTCCGCTTTCTTTTTCAATGAAAACTCGGCGGTTTGAGGCGCCGGGCAGAATCGGATCCTCGTGTTCACTCCAACCATGTTGATGGTTATCGGCCCACGCCAGATCTAAGTCTCCAGAACCAGCAAAAAAGATCCTGCTCCGAAGCCAAAAGCATCCCTTCTCCAAAAACACAAGTTCTGGTTTCGGTGACCGCTACCATATTTGGAAACCCACTTCGACGAAGAACACTGCCGCCGCCGTTTGCACCGACGAAACTGATGTTGACGATTTATGTTCCACCGTTGAGATCTGCCGCTGCTCTGCCGATTCAAAAATCTACCGCTGACGTTGCCCTCTACCGATTTCACAAGATCTGTTGTTGCTCCTGATTCCTCCCTGATAAGAAGCTGCTCCTCAAAAGACTAGCTGTTGTCCGCCGCCTAAGCCCTCTGCCGATTCCACAAACACTAGATCTGTTCCTTCCAGCCAGATCTGGTTCTTTCGGTCCAGTCACATAAAATGGGACCATCAGACTGGTTTTACTATTGAACCGACCACCTACTCTGGTTTGGTTATTGCTAACAGACCGGTTCTTAATGGTTTGTCGGTTTCGTTTAATCGCGGTAACTAATGAATTATTTTTTGGTGCTCAGGGTATATCACTCACAGATCAGGATACTCCCATATGCCCACCAAATGCGGCAGTTCAGATTTGTAATTTTATACTAGGTTACTGGAAAATAGCTCTGGGGTACCAAAATAAAAACCCGACGTTATATATAACTCGTAGATTTTCGATTAGCTTTCTTTTGAAAATATCAGTTTTGTACTGATATTTACAGTTTCGTCATTATATGACGAACTCTTTATTGTACAGGATAAGTCTTAAGCATTGCTCTGAAATTATTTCCATTCATTCATAAATTTGCCAAGTTCTGACTTGGTTTTTTTTTTAAAAATTCAATTAAAACTAAAATTTTTAGATGTTTTTATATGGCACCGCAAGTTTAAACAATGTTTTCATTCAATTTTTCTTTGAGATTTTGTGGAAAAATTAACGATCTTTTTTTTTCCACGTAAAATGCACGCGAATCGACCGAAGGGTATTATGTGTCGATCATAAATGTTTGATTTGAGTCTTTTATATCACGTGATGTACTTGTATATTTACAAAAAAATTAAATTTTACATGGACACACAATACCGTTCAGTCAATCTACGTGCATGTCAAGTGCAAGGAGTTGAACATTTCCCCTAACCCTAAAGAGAAAAGTGATAGAAATACTACTTAAGTTTGTGATATCAAACAATAACATTTAAAATTATAGATTTGAATGAATATAGTAAGCAATTTTTGGTTTTTTGTGGAATAATTTAATGAAAAATATAAATTTATAAACCACCTTTATTTTAATAGATTTGTAACATTGAGAAGTTCTTTTTGGTAGTTAGATAGATTGCGAGTGATTGTAATTTGTAAATATTGAGAAGTTCTTTATTTATTTATTTTATTTTTTTAAAAAGGAAGATTTATTTGTTGGATATAGCTAAAAATCTTAAGAAGATTTTTTTTTATAAAAAAAAGGAGAACTTGAAATTTGCAGAGTTTGAACTGGGATTAAAAATTTATAAGTTTTTTTTATTTATGTACTATAGCCTATTTTATTTATTTTAATTTTTTAAGGTAGTATGATAATATAAATTTTTAAAAATTTGTACCTTCCCAAAATGGGAGCCTAAAGCCACTGCTTCATTGGCTTTATGGGAAGGCCGCCCCTACGCAAACATTAACCAGATTATGCAAAAGATCCTTGCACCACACGCTAAGATTTCCGACTAATGGAAGGAGCTAATCCAAGAATGTACGTAAGAATTTATTAGTTTCATCACGCAGAAGCCAACAAGCGGTCCCACCATGACTGCTGGAAGACGATTAGCGTGGAGGATGTCCTATTCGGGTTCCGCCAGCTACGGTTTGACAACTACATCGACCCCATCATGTTGTATTTGAACAAGTATCGCCAGAACGAGTTTACTCGAACGGTTATGCGCGGCGACTCTTTTGTCCGCTGCACTATAGATTTCTCTACCATGGTGCCATCGGGGCCAATACCACTGCCTCCGCTACCTCCGCCTTAGCACCTGCAGGCGCCACCTGTTATGCCGAATATGTTTCTGCCAGTTTCCGGTTATGAGAACTATTTTAGTGCAATAGTTCACAAAACCCTTGCACGGTTTTTATGGTCAAGTACCAACAAGATCTTACCACTACTATGACAGTGATGCTACAAGTAATAGTAGTACTCATGGTGGACAAGGGAAATCTTCTTCCAATTCTTCTATTGCTCCTCATTATCCTTTTTCTAGAGGTTTTCTTCTATTGCTCCTCATTATCCTTTTTCTAGAGGTTTTGGTTCTTCTAGTTAACCGCTACTTGGTAGCTTGTTGTGAGAAGATATGGTCATCCTTTGATGCAATTTACATTCTATATGAAGTGCAGTAATTATGGTCATCGTAATTTATCGTCACCTTGTAATATAGGTAATATAATTGTTATCTTCACGTATATTTCTTTTTATTACGAGCGTTACGTGAAATATACTCCTTTTAAGATAAACATTATACTTGTTATCATCACATACATCTTCGTCAGTTAGGAGCCGTTATGCAAAATATTCGGTAAACCTCGTGATCTTCATTGAATTTAAGAGTGTTCCGTCAAGTACGCGAACATGGTCAAGTTCAAAGAAACGCGTTCTGTATGATTTCATAATATAAGTTTGGTGAGAGTAGCGTTCCATTTACGCATACTTGTTACCTTCCCAAATGAGACCAATTTACCAAATATAAAGATGCACAATTAAATTGTTCAAAACATTAAAAATTCCAGCAAGTTTCACAACAAAAACTCATATTCATGAGAGACCATCAGAAAAACTAAATCTTGTTCCACTTTCTCAAAAATAAATAGTTAAAGTTTATAAACTAAATTCATATAAATATTTTTTCTAAATCAAGCTTTTAATGAATCAATTCAGAGAACTAGAAATTTTACAAATCAAGCACTCCATAATTATATTTTAGCTTTCATCATCAGCCTAGAAATATGGGCATGAGCCATAGAACACAACTTTAACAAATAAGAACACGTGCAAAACACGTGCTGCGGCGCTCATTTAAGTGGTCTTTTGGCTGTCAATTGTTTCCAAAAATTTAAATTAATAGACTCCGGGCCTTTACAAGAGGGAAAAAATTTGAAGCATTAAGATCCAATTGGAAGATTGGTACTAGGAAAAAAAATATGATAGCATATCCCATGTTTATCCACCGATCGGAAAATAAAATTTGAAGAATTGGAATCCACAGTCACAATTTACCGCCTCATAATTTAATGGTGACCCTAACAACGATGTAGATGTAGGAAAAGAAGTGAAAATCATATGGGTGGTGGGAAAGTAGGAATTTGATTTAATTTGCAAGATATAGTAAATGAAAGAAATCTTTATTATGACTACTATTAATATAATAATTGTAGATAGTAATTCATTTTTGTGAATTTTAAATAACAAAGATTAAGAAACTGCCACATAGAATTGGCATGAGAAGAATAACTTAGAGTTTTTCTCCCTGGATTTCCTATTAGTATATTATATAGGTTGTACAGACATTTCCATAAAAAAATGTTCATATGATTATTCAGTTAGAACGAAATGAATTGGAAAAGATGTTTCCTTTCAAACAACATTATCAAGATAATGACTCGGTTAAAAAAAAATAAATTATTATAAAGACATTTCCTTCAGAAAAAAGTATTGAGATATTGAATCGTTTCATTCATGTATTGTTTCATTTATAATTTTTTTTTTAAAGTATGCGTAAATTGTTTAATATGTTTTTCTAAGATATTTCCGTTTATAATTCATTCAGTTATTGTTATTTCACCCTTTGAAGCACTTTACATTTTATATGTAGTGCAATAACTATGGTTGTCGTAGTTTATCGCCACCCGTTAATATAGGAGTTATAATTATTATCTTCACGTATATTTCCTTCTATTAGGAGCGTTACGTGAAATATACTCCTTTTAATATAAAAACATCATACTTGTTATCATCACATACATCTTCATTTGTACGGGCTGTTACGCAAAATATTCGGTAAACCTCGTGATCTTCATTAAATTTAAGAGTGTTCCGTCAAGTACGCGATCATGGTCAGGTTCAAAGAAAGGCGTTCAGTATGATTTCACGAGATAAATTTGGTGAGAGTAGCGTTCCATTTACGCATACTTGTTACCTTCCTCAAATGAGACCAATTTACCAAATATAACGATGCACAATTAAATTGTTCAAAACGTTAAAAGTTCCAGCAAATTTCACTACAAAAAATCATATTCATGAGAGACCATCATAATAACTAAATCCTGTTCGACTTTCTCCAAAATAAATAGTTAATGTTTATAAACTGAAATAATATAAATATTTTTTCTAAATCAAGCTTTTAATGAATCAATTCAGAGAACTGGAAATTTTACAAATCAAGCACTCCATAATTATATTTTAACTTTCATCATCAGCCTAGAAATATGGGCATGAGCCATAGAACACAACTTTAACAAATAAGAATACGTGCCAAACACGTGCTGCGGGGCTCATTTAAGTGGTCTTTTAGCTGTCAATTTTTCCAAAAATTTGAATGAATAAACTCCGGGCTTCTACAAGAGGGAAGAAATTGGAAGCATGAAGATCCAATTGGAAGATTGCTACTAGGAAAAAAAAATAGTACTAGCATATCCCATGTTTATCCACCGATCGGAAAATAAAATTTGAAGAATTGGAATCCAAGGTCACAATTTACCATCTGATGATTTAATGGCGACCGTCACAACAATGTAGATGTAGGAAAAGAAGTGAAAATCATATGGGTGCTGGGAAAGTAAGAATTTGATTTGATTGGCAAGATATTGTAGATGTAAGAAATATTTATTATGACTACTATTAATATATTAATTGTAGATAGTAATTCATTTTTGTAATTTTTGAATAAAAAAGATTAAGAAACTGCAACATAGGCTTTGGCATGAGAAGAATAACTTAGAGTTTTTCCCTGTTGATTACCTATTAGTATATTTTATAGATTGTACAGACATTTCCATAAGAAAAATGTTCATATGATTATTCTTTTAGAACGAAATGAATTAGAAACGATGTTTCCTTACAAACAACGTTATCAAAATAATGATTCGGTTATAACAAAAAAAAAATTATAAAGATATTTCCTTTAGAAAAAAGTATTAAGTTGATGTATCGATTCCTTCATGTATTGTTTCATTTATAATTGTGTTTTCTAAAGTATGCGTAAACTGTTTAATTTTTTTTCTAAGATATTTCCGTTTATAATTCATTCAGTTATTGTTATTTCACCCTTTTATGCACTTTACATTCTATATGTAGTGAAGTAATTATGGTCGTCGTAGTTTATCGTCACCTTTTAATATAGGAGTTATAATTGTTATCTTCACGTA